CTTGCAGGCCGCTAAGAATGACATGACGATTAACTCGAATGCCCCTCAAGTTGAATCTGATGATGAAGAATTGGTTCCTGGCACTCCTGTCCCTGCGACGCCTGTAATGGTTCCTTTGACAGCAGGACCAGCACCTTTGACCAGCAATGAGGTGATTGCGGCACTTCAACCTGGAATTGTAGGTGCTGCAGCTTCGAGTTCACCGCCTTTGGACTTGGTTGGTGATCTTTCCATGCCTGCCACGCCAGCAGCCTCAGTGCCTGTGCCTCCAAGTCCAGCTGCGGGCTTGTCTCCTGGACTTGGGCGAACTATGGATCGCGCTCGCGCTTTTGATGATTTCGAGCGTGGAACCAAGCGTGCTGCCGAAGAAGATCTTCCTCGAGCAGAACCTTTTGAGAGAGCTACAGGATCTACCCTGCAGCCGAATGAAGCCTTGGCATTTGAGGCATTGATCATGTCTCAGGCAGAACTTGAACAAGTTGCCAACGACACCAACATCCATCCTCTACTTGCTCTTCAAGCCCAAGCAGACCTTGACCGCTGGCATCCCCTGGACGCTGCAGAGTATGACCATGGGACTTGGGATGGACGTTGGGCCTTCCTATGTGAACGTGATTGGCAATTGCAAGTTGAGCTGGGTAAACAGCTGCCTTCTGGACAGCCTGTCCAAGAATCAAATGCCGTGCAAGCTGCTCGCAAGGAATACCATTGGTCACAGATGAGTGACGAGCACAAGAAGCTTTGGGGTGATGCAGCAACGACAGGTTGGAAAGCCTATGTTGACAATGAGGCGATCAAGGTTCTGAGCATGCAAGAATCACAAGCCGTGCGTCGTGATCTTGGACGTCGGAAAGAACTTGACCGCATCATGACCCCAAGATTTGTCATGACAGACAAGCACGATGGCCTTCGAACAGCATCGCTTCCACTTCCTATCAAGCCCTCCAGCAGATTGGTGGTACCAGGATACAAAGACCGGAGCAACCTTGAAGGCAACCTTCGCCGTGATGCTCCTACTGGATCGCGATTGGCTCAGCATTTTTTGTTTGTGGTGGCAAGCTTTTTCACTCACTGGGCAATCATTTCTTCGGACGTCAAAGCAGCATTTTTGAAAGGTGATCCATACCTTGCAAGAGAGCTGTACCTCCAGAACACCAACCCGAAGAGCTCACCGAGTTTGCCGCTACTACCTGGCCAACTTTGCCGAGTTCTGAAAGGGATCTTTGGCTTGGCCGATGCTCCAAGAGAATGGTGGCTTCGACTTAGCCGCACCATGAGTGAGAATCGTTGGGTTCGATCTTGCATTGATGCAGCCATGTGGCTACTCTGGTCCGCTCCTCAAGATGGCCAGCAGGAGTTTGACAACTATGAGTCCTGCACTTTGGAAGGTGTCATCGTCGCTCATGTTGACGATTTGCTCTTTTGTGGTTCGAAAGTTGCGGAAGCCTCGTTAGCAAAGATTGGCCAAGAGTTGGGCTTCGGCAGCCAGGACTTCAATGACTTCACCTGGTGTGGGAAGCGCATCAGACGTGCTTCGGACGGCTCAGTCCGATTGTCTATGGTTGAATACCACGAGAACCTCAAAGAGATCCTGTTGCCGAGGGAACGCGAATCCATTCCAAGTGCTGCACTATCACAGCATGAAGCACGTCAGCTACGTGCGGTCCTTGGCAGTTTCCAGTGGCTAGTTGCTCAGGTGAGATTTGATATGGCATTTCAAGTGTCAGTTCTTCAAGGCGAAGAAGCGACAATTGGCACTATCCTTCGAGCAAACAGCCTTGTCAAGGAGTTCAAGCGAACCAGCCAGTTTGAGTTGATTTTCAGACCGATTGATTTTCGACGAGCTGGCATCGTTGCGGTTTCCGATGCGGCGCTTGGCAATGTGCAACGTTCAGGTGCTTCAAGTGGAACGCCCCTGGAGAAGGTCTACTCACAGGCCGGGTATGTCATCATGATTGCCGATGAGGCCCTGGTGCATGGTAACTGCGGATCCTTTAATGTTTTGGATTCGAGGTCACATCGGATCCCCAGGGTATGCAGATCGACGTACTCAGCCGAGACGCTTTCAGCTGAGGAGGCCATTGACACTGCGCAACTATGCCGTGGATTTTTGGCTTCGCTCTGCGGAAAATCCTTGCATGGCCGCAATGTGGACACGGCCATCAACTCCATTGCCATGACCGCAGTTGTGGACGCCAAAGATGTTCACGACAAAGGGAACAGTGATACACCAAGTTATGGATCTCAAAAGAGCCTTGCATTCACTATTGCATGGCTTCGCTCGGTCTTGAGACGGCCGAATTCCTGCCTGAAATGGACAGCAACCAGCAACATGTGGGTTGATGCTTTGACCAAGGACATGGACCTCCAGCATCTTCGCAAGATTCTGCTTTCCGGGTCTTGGTCGATTTCCTACAGCCCCGAGTTCTTGAAGCAGGTTGGGAAAGCTAAGCAGCTGAAACCTTCAAGCTCTACAGCATGCGCTGACGCTGAGCTGCCTGGGACGAGACTGAGTGCTGAGGACCCCATTTTGCCGCATTTGTCGAAGCTTGCTGACCAAAAGGGTTGGCATAGTGTTTCAGGTTTGGGATTGCAAGTGGCATTCAATGCCAAGTCGTACAGAACACCCCAGCCACGTTTTAGCACAACTGATTTCCCGTTGCGATCATCATTTGGAAGATTTGAAATCAGTGGCCAGTATTTTTGGCATTGCTTGGAAAGCGCTGTCGAGTATCCACTTTTGTCCAACCAGCATGCGCTAATCGGATGTGTGACTCCAGTGCTTGTGACTGTTTTTCATGCCAGTTCCACCATCACTTTGATGCAGCAAGGGCAACAAAACAAAGTATGACGAATGACAAAGTGATGTTGTGACACTGGTGACATACAGCAGTCGAATGGCTGCGGGCATATGGCTCAATGCCCCAATCTCAGATCTTCAGCCGTGGCTATCGCACCAACATCACTTTGTCAAACATTGATGACAGCACCCTACGTTCGGCAGCATTGAGTAATAGTATGTCGGCACACCTCTCTACAAGGCATCAGATGGACATCATCCTCCAATGAAAAGCACAGCAGATTTGTGTTTGATTGTTCACGTAATAACACACTGTGATTTCCTAGTGCTATAAGTTGAATTGTATGCCGCAATATGGCGTTATTTTTACATGAAAATATGTGGCCATATCTTGTGGATAGTTGCGGTATGTAAGATGCACCAGCCTTGCCTTGTGAGTTGTGTTCAGCTGCACCATATAGGATTGCGCTGGAGTCAACTGCTTTGCATCGCATTGCGTTCCATTGCAATGAACCAACTACCTTTCATCAGCGACCTTTTCAATCCATTTCATGATTTTCATGGCATCATGAACCCAACGTAAGATGTGACAGTGTGATGCCAACTGCTCATTGACAAGATATATGCTCATACAAGCAGCAAAGTAACTGCAGCAAAACTGGACCCCAAAAAATCAAACCTGAAGAAAAAAGTCAGAGTTCCACCTTCCCAACTGGATTTTCAAATGTTTTTTCACATTTTTTTCACATTTTTTCCAAGTGCATTTTCAAAATGTAATTTTTCTCTTATTTTTTTCATTTTTTTTTCCCCAGCAGCGTAAGCTAATGGGGTCTTCAGCCCAGAATAGCTCCGGTGTGCACTGGTGCAGGCGCCGGGTCAGGTTCAACGAGGTTCCGGAGAAGGTTCCGGAGAAGGTTCCGGAGAAGGTGTGAGAGACAGGTCAGGTTCAACAGGGTTCCGGAGAAGGTTCCGGAGAAGGTTCCGGAGAAGGTTCCGGAAAAGGTTCCGGAGAAGCTGGGAGGTTTCTGTGCAGAGCCAGGTCAGGTTCAAAAGGGTTCCGGAGAAGGTTCCCGGAGAAGGTTCCAGAAAGCCTGTTCCGGAGAAGGTTCCGGAGAAGGTTCCGGCGAAGGTCTGGGAGGCTTTGGTGCAGAGTCGGGTCAGGTTCAACAGGGCCCGGAGAGAAGGTTCCGGTGAAGGTCTGGGAGGCTTTGGTGCAAACCAGGTCAAGTTCAACAGGGTTCCGGAGAAGGTTCCGGAGAAGGTTCCAGGAAGCCTTGGTGCAAAGCCAAGTCAGGTTCAACGGGTTCCGTAGAAGGTTTTGGAGAAGGCCTGGGAGGCTTAACAGGTTCTGGAGAAGGTCTGGGAAGCTTTGGTGCAGAGCCAGGTCAGGTTCAACAGGGTTCCGGAGAAGGTTCCGGAGAAGGTTCCGGAGAAGGTTGCGGAGAAGGTTCCGGAGAAGGTTCCGGAGAAGGTCCCCGAGAAGGTTCGGAGAAGGTCTGGGAGGCTTTGTTGCAGAGCCAGGTCAGGTTCAACAGGAGGTTCCAGAGAAGGTTCCAGGAAGCCTTGGTGCAAAGCCAAGTCAGCTTCAACAGGGTTCTGGAGAAGGTTCTGGAGAAGGTTCCGGAGAAGGTTCCGGAGAAGGTTCCGGAGAAGGTTCCAGGAAGCCTTGGTGCAAAGCCAAGTCAGGTTCAACGGGTTCCGTAGAAGGTTCCGGAGAAGGCCTGGGAGGCTTTGTTGCAGAAACGTTTCGGAGAAGGTTCCGGAGAAGGTCTGGGAGGGTTTGGTGCAGAGGCAGGTCAGGTTCCACAGGGTTCCGGAGAAGGTTCTGGGAGGCTTTGTGCAGAGGCAGCTCAGGTTCAACAGGGTTCCGGAGAAGGTTCCGGAGAAGGTCTGGGAGGCTTTGGAGCAGGCTGAGGTGTTTCCAGCGTTTGGCTTCGCAGCACGCTTCAGAAATTTTTGTAAAAATAAAAGGTTGTGGCTGTTGGGGATACCACCGAAGCATATTTTTACATTGTTACTTAATCGTTGTTTTCATGCTTGTAGCTGGAAACGGCCATGATAAGCTTACAGTTTCATATCCAGATTGCCCTTTGTTAACATGAAAAAATGAAGACCTTAGCGGCTTAGTGTGGGAGCTTCCTAGATCTTCCTAGGGTGCATCACAGACATGATGGACATGGCCAAGTTGGACAGCCCTGAGGAGAACAGCCCAGCCCAGCAGCGCAGCTTCAGTTCACCACCCTCTCTTGGCCGTCGTCGCTTACCACCATTGATGAACAAATTTGTGGTGAGGGGTCTAACAGTTGTCTAATGAATCCCAAAATTCCGCAGATTTTCATTGATTTTCTTTTTCATGAGGAATGTTGATCGATTAGGAATTCACGATAGCCGCAAGCATCGCAAGCTTGTGCTAAGCACAACTTGTGCTGAGTCGTCGAGCCATCTCTCTTACGATGCAGGGTGTTTGGGCTGAAACCTTGAATCATCGTCAGCAGCAGTGTATTCATGACATTTCATGACCATGATACGACATCATCATCTCATCATCTCATCATCTCATCATCTCATCATCTCATCATCTCATCATCTCATCATCTCATCATCTCATCATCTCATCATCTCATCATCTCATCATCTCATCATCTCATCATCTCATCATCTCATCATCTCATCGTCTGCATCCTCCTGCTCCTCTGCTCCTCCTGCTCCTCCTGCTCCTCCTGCTTTTCCTGCTTTTCCTGCTTTTCCTGCTTTTCCTGCTTTTCCTGCTTTTCCTGCTCCTCCTGCTCCTCCTGCTCCTCCTGCTCCTCCTGCTCCTCCTCATCATCACCACCACCACCATCATCATCATCATCATCAGCAGGCTCATCAGCCTCAGCAGCCTCATCAGCGTCATCAGCGTCCTCATCATCAGCGTCATCAGCGTCATCAGCGTCATCAGCGTCATCAGCCTCATCAGCTTCATCAGCCTCATCAGCCCCATCAGCCTCGCCCCCTCATCAGCTTTATCAGCCTCATCAGCCTCATCAGCCCCATCAGCCTCATCAGCCTCATCAGCCTCATCAGCCCCATCAGCCTCATCCCCCTCATCAGCTTTATCAGCCTCATCAGCTTCATCAACCTTATCAGCCTTATCAGCCTCATCAGCCTCATCACCACCACCACCACCACCACCACCGTCGTCGTCGTCCTCCTCCTCCTCAGCAGCAGCAGGAGCTGCCGCTGGATAGCCGCCGCCAGCAGTCGCAGTAGCAGTAGCAGTAGCAGCATCAGTAGTAGCAACATGTGCTTCATTTTGACTCAGCATCTTCATGAGCACGGGACATGTCTTTCAACAAGAGATAGTCATATATGGGCCACATATGCAGAAAAGGTTTTTCTTGAACTCTCCACCTACTGTAGATGCGCGTGTTGGAATTTTGACGCCTTATGATTGCTCTACAGGCGAAAAAGTCAGGTTTTGTTTCTACATTTTCTTGGTTGCCCCTGCCCTGGTAGTTTTCGTTCCTTACCTCTGTCCTCAAGTTTTCGTCCTGGAGATTTGTTTTTTGCTGCCCTGCAGTCTTAACTCAGAGGGGTTCTGGTCTGTCATGGAGCGGGCTTTGGCGGAATGATCCTCCACGCATGTGAAGCGAGGGTCACCTTTATTAAGAGAGATCCGATGGACCTGGGGAAGTAAGAATACCCGTGGATTCAATGTGGAACCATTGGCGATTCAGTGTGGATTCTGTTGTGCTGTTCTGGGAGTGATGTTTTTTCCGGTCATGTTTTTCTGGTGGGATACGGCCCTCGGTCCGCTGTGGAACTGAGATGTTTCAGTGTTAGGATAGGACGTGGTTGGTGTACCCCAGTAGACACCATCCGCATTGGGACGGAGTCTTCGTCCAGGGTGTAGCTTGGGTTGGCTTGGCACCGCACGACAGCAGCATCAGGACAGAAGGTGAAAAGTTGGGAAACCGGGATTTAGATTTGTTGAGACGCGTCGAGATTTGTGAGACGGAGTATTTTTTGGAGGGGGGTGGGAGTAGTGCTGGCAGAAGTTGGATAGGGGCTGGACCGGGTGCGAATAGGAAGGTGTTGGGATGCTGCTCAGATTCTTAGGATATAGAATGATATAGAGCCAGCGTTGGATGAAGAATCGCAGCGCAACCTGACAGGAACAACTCTCTCGGCAAAATGCTGTTTTGTTTTTTTTGATTGGCGGTTGGGGTCGCAGGGAGAGGGACATTCTGGGTTGAAACGGGTTGCTACCCTCATGGCGTAACCTTGTCCAAAAGTAGCCTTCAAAATCCTCCGAGCATGTCCAAACGTTGTAGAATCTGGGGGTGAGCAGTAATTTTTTTGGGGGAGGGAATGCAAGTGATGGCAAAGAGGGGTGGGATCGTGGTTGTCGGAAGTTTTGCGATCGTTTACTTGTGGGCTCGCAGGCTTTACGAAAGTTTTTCCATTATTCAGGTTTCGTCTTCAGTTGCAGCAAAGTTGAATTCCCATTGTGCCCAGGCAGCGATGAAGATGCTTGCGAAGCGACGTCCTTGCAGGGACTGGTGCAGAAGACTGCAGACATTTATGAGTGGCCCATTGATGAGCAGGGGAACATGTCCAAAGGCAGCTTCTTGCATCCTGAAGTCTCTTGCAAGCCAGAGGTATGCCAGAGGTGTTTTTAAATATGCAATTTCCAAGTCACCTTAGAGTGCGGTGACTACAGCAACCTGCAAGACTGGAATATGGCTATTCAAGGCATCCAAGTCCTTCAAACTATTACAAACTGATGCGATGTAGGCGTCGTTCGTGGTCCCAGGACCAACTTATTTGCCTCTGTTTGGAAGCTTGAACACTTTGTAGGGGCTAGACTCCAGCCCCTGACGCTTTGATCCGAGGTTTGTGGGCGTTTTTGCATCCGTTTCTTCTACGGCACGTGTCGGCAAGGGCAAAATTGCGAGTTTTGCCACCTGGAACATCACGAGCGGAAAGTGAAGATGAACAGGGTGGGAGTGCTGCCGTAGGATACTGCAGGTAGGTCTGTTTTTTCTCCGGAAAATTGTGCTGCTGAAACATGCTGAAACCATATCAAGAGGTTGTGACCCTTGTGCTGCAACTGCAAAAGGCGCAGCGGGAACTTTTCCAAATGCTGGGAGAGGCAGAGGCCGCTGGGGAGCAGTGCTCACGACAATGCCTTTGGTCTCCGAGTCTCCGCGTATGCAATTTTGAAATGTAATTCATTTGATCGTCATTTTTGAGAGTTTCAAAAAGGGAGTTGGCAGAAGTTGTCGATGCTCCATGCATTAGACGAAGTAGAACGCACTGGGAGCGTGTGCGTTTTGCTTCACGGAATGGACATTTGGGATTAGATGCTGTCTTGTGCCGTGGTTCTTGTGACACTCTTTTCCTTGATTTCACAGGTTCTTGCGCTTGTGTTGCCACACATTGAGAGGAGGTGCCGAAGCAACGGGTTGAAGCTAGGCACGCTTATGTCAGACACCAAGCAATTGGGCTATACTGATCGCTTGGGGATACTGTTCACAAAGCCTTGGGTGGGTACACAAGATTGCCCCCCAAGCCCAAGCTAGCAGAATATATGTGTGCCATTCTTCCGAGTCTTAGAAGTGAGCAACATTAAGAACTGACAATCAAATATGGCATCTTGTTGCCCAATCCGAGGAACAATCAGATGCTTTTTGTCGTTGATCTGCTTCGCCGCCGCTCCACATCAATACCTCACCCTGATGGCAATAGTGTTCAGCACGTCACTTGGCTTCGGATTGTTCTTGGAACTTCCTGAAGAAAAATATCTTTCAACATGGATGCAGGTTGGTCCTTAAAATAGCCATGGACCTGGACATCACCCCATCTTAGCGCCATGCTTTGTCAAAGGGCCCAGGCCAGGTAAGAGAACACCATATTTGGACGACCATAGTTCGGACATGTTCGGACACATGGTTTGTTCAAAAGTTTGACCGTTTGACCTTTTTGGATTGCATCATGCGCATTGCATGGTCTGCAGCATCACGCGACACTCCGCTGCGTTGCAAGCAGCAAACAATGAGACTACAACACGTTTGCGTGGGACAACTTCGAACAACGCAACTTTATAATCTATATACTATATAGTTTTTTACACTTGAAAAACTGTGATCCGCGATCGCTGCTACTGTGCTGATGCGTTCTTTTTGTACATATTGTGCACTTTACAAGGGAAACTTGTTCAATAGCTTGCTTTGCTTTGCCGAATCTTGAAATCAATGTTCGAAAATGGACTTGGATCCCGAACAGGCAAAGGAAAACTTAGCATTGCCACGGTGAGTTTAATGTTGAGTTGTCAAAATATATCTGGCTCTGGCAATACCCCCCCTGCCACCCACTGCCTTTGTTGTTGTACCTTCCGTTGTCATCATGGTAATGGACTTTGTGCCATCTTTGTGTTTCTTTCCTCGCCACAAAGCGTCGCTTCATGGGAGGTTCACATGTGCTGCCTCCAAGGCTCGGGCCGTGATTCCAGTCTTGCGCAAGTTCACAGTCGCCCGCCTTCTAGGGCCTCGGTGCATGTGGACATTCCGATTTGCCGGGGCCCATCTGTTTGAATTTGGCGGACAACTGGACAACATTGAACCAAAAAGCTACAGTCCTTCTTCATTTTTCCCATTCGACTCAATTCTCTTCCAGGATTTCCTCCAAGACAGAAGGATTTTCAAGGCAAAACCTCCTTTCGTATGCAGTTATAGCCGACCCATCCAATCCATGAATAAGCTCTTCTCGCTTCAGGAACTCATCCGACAGAGTCCAGCATTTCCATCAGGACGGTGTTTGGTCCCTGTCCTGCTGTCCTGGTGGGCCAGCGCGGCCGTGGAATAGTGAATAGGTAGGTGGATGTGGACGCGTGGTATGCTCATTGTGCGTCCTATTTTCCTGGGTCCCTTTGTAGACGACAAAACATGGCAACAGGGCATCCAGTTCGACAGTGCAAGCCCAAACAACTGCAGATTCCATAGCTTTCTATTTTGCTGTTCCGGGCTGCGCTTCCGGATGAGAGCTTGTATCTGACTTTTTTAAGTTTTCGTCATTTACATCAGTGGTAGACCTGCCACAGCGGCACGCCGATGCAACAGCACCGGAGGATTTAAGGAGGATTTGAAGAAACTTGTGCCTTGGCTGATGGAAGGAGAGGGCCCTCCAGCTTTCGGGTGTTTGGTGGCTGGATCTGTTGTGAGGGTGCTGAAGTTGGGGGTATTTTTGCTGTAGACAGCAATTCTGGGATGTCATGGGAGCCGACAAAGGTCTAGCGGTGCTGGTTTGCCCATATGAAATCGTTTGCCTGGTTACCGTCGCAAAATTCAACAAGTATCTACTGATGTTGTTGTAGTTCTTGCACAAGCAGCTGGATGGATGGTCCATTGCCGCATCAGAGCACCTTGATGGTTCCTTGGAGTGTGGCGCATCAACAGGTGCCATGATTGTTGGTGAGACCCGTAGTGCACAGGACGACTTTCCGTACTTCAAACTTCGAGTCTTTCAAGCTTGCTTCTGGCAGAAAGGAACATGTTCATGTCGATATCATTCGACTGGCCCTGTTTGGAGCTGGAGCTAAGGTGGATCGTTCTCTTGGCCGTCAGTGAGGTCAGTGAGAGACTTAGGGGATCTGGCAAAATACGAGGCGAGAGAGAGGGGAATGGGGAATTGTGCCACAGCCGAAAGACTCATGTTCATGTTCTGCAGGTATCCCATCTTTGTTCTGAACGTGGTATTACTTATGAGTATATTATATTTGTTTAATTTTGTTTATTACATTTTCAATGTTATGCTGTGACGTAGCCTCGCGCAAGCAACTTCTGGTGATGCATGCAGCTGGCCGCGGAATTCATGTGCCCAGTCACCCAGTGAAAGCATGTGCAAGTCTGAATTCTACGCTGGTACCAAACGGTATTGATGTGTCACAGTGTGAACGTGCTTGTGTTCATGTTAGAGTAGAATGGTAGTGGGACTGGGAGGTGCTCCACGCAGAGTAGACTGCGTCGAATGTCCAACGCTTCTGGGCCTTTGGGCAATCTTTGTTCAGACACTTGATGGGCCGCCCAAGCATGCGCACATGACTTGTGTTGGCCGCAATGGCTTCGTGCATGGGTTGGTCAATCAGGTGTGTTTAAACTTGTCCTGGAGATTCATAACCCTGAGAACAATCGCTTTTGTCTACAAACGGATGGATTTTGACGTCAAAAACCTGAAACTCTCAAAGCTCCTTATCTTTGGAAAAGCAACTTGAATGTCCATCGTATTTTCACGGTCCGGGGGTTGAGGTGAGCAATCTGGAAACGGGCTATGTAAACGCTGAAGCTTACCCGCTTGCAAATGTCACGCTGTGACATGACATAAAGTACCTGAAACCCCTGAAATCACTGAGATTTTCCAGGAGAATGAATTTCCAGGAGAATTTTCCACGTTGACTGGTGCCCGTGGATCTAAAACACATCCTTTCGCGCCCCTCCTCCTAGAGCAAGCAACTTGAATGTGTGTGTATATATATATATATATTATAGTTATATACAGTCTGAAAAATCAAGGCAGGAAACTGTTGTCTCAGCTGCTGCTGGTATCTGTTGGCAAATGGCTCAAGGCCTGTTGGAGCCAGAGAGTCGTGGGCAGTGTTGTACTTAACACCGCTCCTCAACCTTTTATACCTTCGAACAAGATTTTGAACTGAAAAACATCATGTTGAAATGGGGATGTTGGAAAGCCCCTGTGCAGACTGATGGCTTATAGTTATAGTTTTACAGTAAGTTTTACATCTGTTGTCAGCCGCAGATGTTGGCATTTGCCAACTCGTTTCCCCTCACGTGTTGAGCCCCATTTGCGCTCATCACTTTTCTCTGTTGTTTCTGGATGGTCACCCAGGGATGTTGCAGCTTCACCCCGCGACACTTGTCAATGGGATGGTCTCTCATGTTGTTGCGGCTCAATCCTGTTGGCCTGCACCCCCAGGCCCATCATCCATGTTGGCCTCCACTTGTTCAGTGCGCCAGATGTTGATCTCATTGAAATACTCCTCGGCAGCGCTCTCCGTTGTGCCTTCCACAAGCCGTTGAAAGGCTTGAACCCCTAAGACGTTCGACCGTCTTGACTCCATGAAAGGCATTTGTTGTGCCTGTCGAGAAGATTCAGCATGAGATCCCTCTTCTTGGTTGGCAGCTGATGAAGCTGCTGTGTAGGTCATCAACTTGTGGGTGTTGGGCTCCCACGATACCAAAATCCGCTTCTCCGGAGTTGTTGTCATTGAGTGTTGCTCTGAGAGGTGGTATGGAGCTGCCCAAGAATTGCACGCGTTGGGGACAATGATGTGATGATGTTGTCCCAGCGCGGCATCATCTCATCTCCGTTGAGGCGGCCAACTGTGCCTCCTGTTGCCACCATGCCTTGATACTGTTCTGTTGTCAGGCAGATCCAGAGAACCAACTTGTTGTTGAGAAAAGCCCTCAGGGCCAAAGTGCTCTGAGCTGCCATACGTGTGGTCAAACATGCATGTTGCCTGGATGTTGAGGCTCGACATGAGCCAGTCATTCATCCATCGGTGTTGTTGCGTGGGCCTCACCACAGCTGGCACTCGATGTTGGTCGAAGCAGCACCGCAGGCACGTTCAACAGGCCGTTTTTCAATGTGTTGTCACACTGTTGGCTTTTGTAAGAAAGGCTGCCGACTGAGGCTCCATGTATACTGTTGTCAACAAACTGTTGAGAGCTGCACATGCTGAATGGGAAAAGATCTTTCCATGTTGTCTTTGGCAAAACAGTTCTCACAAACGTCTCCAATCATGTTTGACGTCAAACATGTTATAAAAAATTGATAAAATAGTATGGGGCATAGTGAATCACTATAATATAGTACATGTTGTCGCCCTTTGTCGACACCATGGCTCAATTCACTGTATGTTTGTGTGTGTGTGGACCATCTGCACAGATGTAAAACTTCCTTCTGTTTGTTTTGTGCTTTTGTTGTTGGTTCAACAAGATTTTCTTACCATGTATGCAGGGGGGCAGTGAATCTCATTCCATCCACTGCCCAACGAAGACGGTGGTTTGAGATTGTGATATCGGGACTGATCATCCCGACGTACCTGCAATTTTCCAATTTATCGTCAATGGCAACCGGCTAAGCCAAGTACCGGCATGTCGCACAAAACCGTTTCAACTTCTGCACTGTTGTCGCAATCTGGCATTTTTACTTTTTTGAGTTCTGTTGCATCAGAACCTTCTTCAGAGCAAGGACGTAGAAAGCATACCTCGAACTGAATTTCACGATGGATCAACCAATTTCTCCTGTCAGACTTTACTGGATTGTTTGTGCACGTTTGATGCATTCCACATCAGTAATTCGATAAGATATTTCTGAGCAAGTGTGTCACTCATACCGTTGTCCGACAAGGTGGTATGAGTGAGCCCTTCGGGGAAAGCCTTTCTAGGCTAACAATTGACGGTAACACGACGTCTGAATTTACATTTTTGAATTAGTAATTCGTTTAAGTAGAGTGAACTGCTGGCCATTTTTCATTGTTTCACACGTCGGTCGAGTGAGTGTTGAACAACCGGCCGCTGCATGTGGCTTCACATTTTCCAAAGATGCAAGGGTTTGTAGCCTGAAGCCACGACAACCTTCGTTCGGTTATATCAAGAGACAGACCGCAGCCATTTTGACATGAACAGGTAACAGGACATGCTTTCCAGGTTTGGTCAGTTCTCTTTTGGTTGTTTGGTGAGGTTGAAATTGTGCACGTAATTCAAGGGTTGAACACGTCAGCTGTCCAGAGGGTTGTGACTTGAACTCTGGCCATTGAGCCTAATGAGGGGATTCCTGCATGCTAATGTGGATGCATCTTGTTTGAACTAACTTGTTAAATCGTCTGACAGTGCTGCCATGTTTCCTGGACGGTTTCCTACCGCTCCCGACAACATGTGGACCTTCTGGAACCCACAAGCGATGGGACTTCAAGGTCAATTTTGTGGCGGTGATCTTATGAACCAACAGTCACAGGCTCAGCTCCAAGCTCAGACTCAGGCACAACTGGCGGCTCTCAGAGAGCAAAATAATATCTTGAATCAACAACTGGGAGTACAAGCTCAGACACATATCCAACACCTTCAACAGCTTCTTCCATTTCACCAATCCACGTTCCATCCACATCCTTCTCAGCCCACAGCTTCAGTGCCTGATCCACCAACACCGGTGGCACCTCAATCCACACCACCGGCATCCAGTGCATCCTTCAATGCAGAGGAGATGATGCAACAGATGAAGAACACGGTTGAGTCCAGTATGCAAGCGTTTGTGGATAAGACCCAAGAGCGCAATCTGAACCAACCTCCTGCTCCGGCCCAACCACCAATTCAAGCTTCCCGACCTATTCCAAGTCATCCTCCTTTACCTGGTGAAGCTCCACCACAGCCACAACACCCTTCACGTCGCTCTCGGTCTCGCTCCCATCGGCACCGTGGGGCACCAGACAAACGTCCAGTCTCTGTTCCACGGAGTCCTCGTCGTGCCACACCATTGAGACGAACACATCGTTCCTCTCGACCAAGATCATCACACAGAAGACGACATTCAACTTCGCGAGATCCATCAAGACGTCCCAGTCGAGCTTCATCTGTCAATTTGCGATCAGCCTCTCCACGTCGACGAGAAGTACGGCCAGACAATGACTTCTATCGTGAGGCACCCAGCCGCGAACCAGCTACACTTCATCCAGCATTGTGGGAACACCAACGATACCATCAGGATCCATCAACCCACAACGAGTACTACCAGAATGAGTACTCATCCGAGGACCAACCATCCACCAACAAGTGGAAATCCTGGAACCAATGGAAGGACTCTTCACAGTCCAAACCTCGAACCCATGCATCGGGGTGGATTGACTATCCCAAGACTTCCTCCAAACATCAACGCTACTATGACTCTTCCTACAAGTCGTCCAACAAACCTCTCACTGCATTTTCCTCCGACCGTCCACGCCAAAACCCACACAGATCCAGCTCAATCCAATCGCGTGTATCCACCAGTGCTGTCCCTCCTGGACATATTCCCATCAATCTCCAAGATGGTTCCAAAGAGGAATGGGCTCGTCATGTCGAGCATGCTTTGAATCATCCAGATAGGATGCGAGCTGCCAATGAACTCAAGCCAGAAGAGCGTCCTACAGTGACCAACTTTATGCCACAAGATGAATATGATGCCGCGAAGGAACAGCTTCACCAGGTCGATTCCAGACTTCCAGGTGATGTAGTGGAGAAGGCTATCCAACTATTCTTCAGCACCAACCTTCTTCCGGACTACGACCTCTCCACTTGCTACGTCCGTGAACTTCCTCATACCAGCATGCTTGCACTCATCATGCCATTACCACCAATCAGTCGATTCTCCATGCCGCCTCCTTTTGGCAATCAACATAACCACACCTGGGCACTCTGTCATGGAACTACCTTCAACTCCGCTCAACTGATCCTCTTGGAGGGTAAGATCCGTCCGGCCAACTGGTCTTACCACAGGAATCCACAAAAGTGCCACCTACCCACCTTTGGGGCATACTACCTTGGCAGAGAAATCTCCAATGCGGACACAACAATTCCGA